AAAAAAAAAAAAAAAACAAGCTCCCCTGGAAGTATGACTTTATCGAACATAGTAAAGAATATTTAAAAATATAATCTACATGTCATTATCGTCCATTTTACAGAATGTAATTCGTTCTCAACCAACACTGCATATATATTTAATTATCTGTTATGTTAAAATAAATATACAATGACAAAGAGCAAAAAAGAACAGAATGGGGGGAAAGGCAGGGGAAAAGAAGAACACATCTAAGCATTTGAGATGTAAGGGCATGTTGACATTTATTCTACCAAAGAGAGCAGACTTCATAATGAGATACTCAAAAGCAAAAGGAACAGTCTGAAATTAGGTGACAGCACAGATCTATGACACTTTGAAAAGCAGTAAAGAACCACAAAATCAGATCAAGAAAACATTGAAAAAGAAAGAACAACAAAAACTGTTCACTTAAAAAATACTATATAAAAAAAAAACAAGCCAGATAATTTCCAAGACTTTTTTGAAATACTACAAGAGTGATGTAATGAATTGATAAGGTCAAAAATAGCTGACAAAGAAGAAGCTTAACAGATGAGTGAGGAGAGAACATTCAGAAAGCCTTATTTCTGGTTTCAATTCAGAAATTGAAATTGAACGAATCCAATTCAATTCTTAGGCTACACACAATTGCTTTTCCAATTATTTCTATAACTTACACTAGCTATTTTCTCCCTTTTCTAAAATTACCGACTCAGTGCCAATAACCTTTGCCTGAATTCCACTTAGAAAACCAATGATACATTTGTGACATCTTCCTTACCCAAAACACCTTCACCTCTGAAATATTTAATTTTCATATTCTAACCTAGAATACGACCTTCTATTCTTCCTGCTCTTTCTCTTGCTTACTTGCCAATGATTTTTACTTTTTTTTGTTGAGATTCGGTCTTTGGCTTTTTTATTTCTTCCAATCAATCTAATCCTTCTGATTTCAGGGTAGTGGTTCCAACTGGAGAAAACTTGCCCTTTAGAGTACAATTGTCAATTTCTGGAGATACTTTTGGCTGTCACAACTAGAGGGACCAGCGATTGATCTGTAAGCAGAGACTAGGAAGCTAAACATCTTATAGTACACAGGACAGCACACATCTAAGACATACTAAATTACTATCATTATTGTTTTCCTTACTGGTCTTAGATTAAATATTAGATGAAAAACAATAGCAGCCTAAATGTAAGATCCATAACCACTTTAACATTTTATATAAGTTATTTTGTCTATAATTCATAACCATGTTATGTCAGTTGCTACCATCTGTCCCTTTAGCGGCTCACAGTCAAATCAAATCACCAAATACTAAGTTCATAGCACATGAAATGAAATTATAAAAATAAATAATTCAATACACACCAGAAGTATATGGTGTATGCATACAATAAAATATTATTAGTCATAAGGTGATGAAACTGAAATTCTGATACAAAGACTAAATAATAAATGATTCCACTTATATAAGGTATCTAGAATAGGCAAAATTCATAGATAAAGAAAGTAGACTAAAGATTACTAGGGCTTAGGTAGGGTGGGGGTATGGTGCAGAGAACCGGAAGTTATTGTCTAATGGGTACAACTTCGATTTAGGATGATAAAGACATTCTGGAAATTTACAATGGTATTACTTAAACATTCTAAGTGTGCTTAAAGCTAATGAGTTATAAACTTAAAATGGTTAATAATAAATTTTGTTATGTATAATTTATCACAATAAAAAATCTTTTAAAATTATAGCTTTTGGCCCTCCCTGGTGGTGCAGCAGGTTAAAGCACTGCACTAAGAAGCTTAAGCCACTTCCGCATGAGTTCTATTCCTGCCTGCCCCAGAGGAGATCCACATGGCAAGGCAGACCTCTCCTGACCCGCCCGCTGCTCCCCTCAGCAGTGTACTTCATTGATCTTTCTGTTCTGCTCCCCCCTCTGTCCCTGCTGAACTCTCTCACCCTCCGCATCTCTGGCCTGTGCCCCAGTTCTGTATGAATAAATAGATAAATCTTAAAAAATATATATATATATATATATATATATATATAGATAGAGAGAGAGAGAGAGAGAGAGCCTTTGTTTTCAATAAGAAGTTTAAGATGAGTGTCAAAAATAAAATATGGATCACTTATTCCCCAGTTCTTAACTATGGACACCAAAGGAGTCAACACCAACTTTTAGATGGCCTTGGTTAACATGCCTGCAAATGGGCACATAACATGCAAATTTCCTTAGCTCACTTTGTTGTTTTGTTTTCTCTTGAAGAAGGAAAGAAAACTACATTGAGGAGATAACTTTATATGCGGACAATGCATAGTGGTAAGTTTTCTAAGGAAATACTTGTCCATATCGAATCATGATAAAATGAATATAATGTATTCATAAATGGACATGTAAACAACTGGGATTGAATTAAAAAGTAAAGAGGGTTCCCATGTACAGTCATAATTTAAACATATCTCCAAAATTCAAAACAGAAATTAAGTACTTTACTTTGATACATATAATAAAGTGAAATATTTGAAATCTCCACTCAAAACACCCCAAAAAAACACATATTGCATTACAAAGACATAATGAAAGTGAATTTAATAAATTAACATTTTCCCAGAATGTCTTAGATTAAGGGATTCAAGCTGGGATAATTTAATTCTCTAGTAAACTCATAAATACTATATATTAAATATCATTCAAGGAATAACAAAGAATTTTCAAAGAACTAGAACGCAATTCTCAAAGAACCTAAGGCCAAACCAGGATAATAATATTAAGAAATACTTTTATGATTCTTATAATATGCCTGGTTTGTTCTACGTTCTTTACGTATATTAATACATTTTACCCTCACAACATATTTCTGAGTACTCTTAGAATTCCTATTTCATAAATGAGAAAACTAAGGTGTAAAGGATCAACTTCCAAACCCTGGTTCATTGTGCTGCTAGTAACTAGCAGAAAGACAGAACTAGGTTCTGAATCCTGAAAATGCACTGACCCTTTTAATCACTTAATCACTATAGTTTGCTATCCCTTGATGATAGTGAGGAGTGTACTACAAAAAATACAGGCAAACCCAAAATGCAAAGCAATCTCTGGAGGTCAAACATAATAAAATCAACATATTAAAAACCATACAAAAATTAATTATATTCATAATGACTACTCTGAGACACAGAGGAACCTTAAGATCTGTTCAGGAGAGTTGGTGTTTAACAAAAGAAGAATTACTTAGCACCTTTAAAAAAATTCCACCCAAAACAATCGAAATGATTTTTATTTTTAGAGAGGTAAAAATCAACTATCCAAAATCACTCATTCCTTGAGGGATTGAAACATAAGGGTTAGACTGAGCAATCTTTTCTGCCATTTATCTCATTTTTAAAAGATGAGGAGGAGGGGGAGGAGAATTTATGTGCTGGTGTGTGTAGGGTGATGATAAATTAAGCTTTCTGGGTGCTTTCATTCAAGATTTATGATAGAACTTAATACTAAAAATATTAGAAAGTGTTAAATCATTTGAACAGATGAGTAAAGAAACTCATAAAATTGTGTGTGACAATAGTAAAAAGCCTGGAATTTACTAATAGTGGTTTTTAAAGAAAAAGAAATACAGGCTTTGAAATCATACACAGACCTAAATTTAAAACCTAGTTCTGCTATTTATTTACTGTGAATGTTTGTCAAGTTAGTGTCACAAAACTGAGTCTTAAGTTTCCTTCTCTGTAAACTGGGGATATTAATTCCTAATTAACAAGGTTGTATGAGTTGAGAAGAAAACAAACAATAGGCCAGGAATATATAAGAGAATCAACAATGAGAAACTACTATAATTCCTTTCTCTATTATGGCTCCCACATATTCGAAGAATCAAATATTACCAATCTAATTAACAAGGTCATTGATAGGGTATTCAAAAATTAAACACACAAAAAGTACAAAATCAAACCTAAATAAGATAAAAAATGTATGAATCCTGTTTCTCCTCTCATATCTATTCTCGTTGGTTATGACTTGTATTCCAGCGTTAATTTTAAAGGATTTCGTTGCTTATTTATTTTGATAGCTGCCTTTGTAAGATACAAAGTATCATCATTGCTAGAATCTAAAATAAATACATGGTCAAGGTGCGTTATAATGAAATTCTGTAACTTTCATCTCAACAGTTTTCACTGGATCCATGTGGATCATTTCTTATGACAACAGTCTCACATTGCAGCGGCAATCCCTTAATACCTCCCCCCACGCCCCTAAAGCGTTAATGAACAAAACTCCAGACTGACGACTCTCAAAACTTGGCGCTCTCAGTAAGGATTCTCTGGGTAAAGGAGGTGGATGGGTTTCACAGCTCTCGAGAATGAACAGAATATGTAAGAATTCTGTCTCTTTAAACAGACTGGGGCTGGGAGCAAACCGGGCAGGTGAGGGGGGCCGGAAAGCAAGCGAGAAAGGAGGCAGCAACTCCAAGCTGAGCAAGGGTCTGTGGCCCCCAGGAGAGAAAAGTAACCACCCACTGACAACCCGACAGAAGTGGCCGCTTAGCCCGGTCCCGGGATTGATGGGATCAGTCTCAGGATTCCTGGAGGACTGACAAGGGCAAGCGTTCTCTGCGGTCCTGGATTTGATAAAGAGCCCCCGATCGCCTGGAGAACGCGAAGCTACAGTACCCGACTCCACCCCTGCGCAAAAGAAGAGGAAGGCAGCAACCCAACCACTAGCTCACTGGTTACCTGTATCAGCCGCCTGGCCATCGGTCTCCACTTCCGCGGACTCGGGGTTACCACGGGCGACCTGAACACGTGCCTAGTGGCGTCATCTAAACGCGCCCCGATCACAGTCCTCTTGGCCCGCCCCTGGAAGAGGAGGTGGAGAAAGAGAGAAGGTCTGCGCAGGCGCATGATTGCCTCTTTTCTGGGAAGCCAGAGAGATTGGATGCTTCCGGGACTGTAGGATTAAATTGTTAGCCCCACTAAAAATAACTGCTAGTTGATAAATCTTTTGGGTTTGAGAGGAAAAAAAAATGCTATTGAAATACAGAAGTACACGTTTCATTTCTCTTTTACTGTCTCAGCTGTGTATGACTGTTGACACATTCCACTCCATTAAAATCCTGGTGAAAATAGAATTTTAAAACTTGAAGTCAAGAAAGGTGACTCAAATATTAACAAGTTATTATAAAGGTGGGTTTCCATTCTCTTTTTGATCATTCGGTGTAAAATTAATTCAGAAAACTGGAAAACTTAGTATATGGCAATTTAGTATATGGCAATAACAACAGAAGTCAAACACCTGGATCTGAAGTATCTTATGAGTCACTCACACGGTCATACGGCAGCTGACACTTTATATTGTTATGTTTGTACTCATAAGAATAAAATCCCATTCATTCCATCCTTTTTCTACCTGTTTTCATGATTGTGTAGGAAAAGTTATGTTTTACAAAGTAAATTATTATGAAAAATATAATTAAATATTTCAGTCTAGTAATTGGTGTATAAGATAAGGTTTCAGATGAACAGCAGTATAATCAACATATGTATATGTAATATGTATATGCAACAGGGTCCACCCAGGAATATGTAAGTTTCCAGGTTTCCTGCCCCACCCAGAAGGTGGGTGCAGCTAAGCAGAGAGGAGATGAATCTGGAGAGGAGTCTGAAGAAGAAGAAAGCAGGATGGAAAACCAGAAGAAGACCTGAGGGAGACACATGGAGCAGGGAGTTTAACTATAGCAGCATTTATCTTGATTTTGAGTTTGCTCTTTTCCTCCCAGATTTGAAAGGCCATTTCTGACCATTCTTATGGGTTCCCATTCGAAGGTGCTTTAGGCTTGTGATGCGCTTTCAGGCCTTGCTTTGGGCCAATCCCTTTTGGGTAGACTTTTACCCATAAGGGGATGGGTAATTTAGAAACTATATTCTTTGTCTTTTCTGTATTGCACATTAATATTGAAGTTCCTTTCCATTAAAGGTCTTATATGTCTTGTCTTGATGTAGCAGATGGCAGAACCTATTTAGATTAGGCAGGTTTGGGGGTTCGGTGGTGCCTCTCTCCTTGCACTGTAAACATATATAATGTTTAATTTTCATTTCCTCCATCACTATAGAGTTGACCTGTTTTACATAAGCAACCCACTACTCTACCCATTTCCCTTCTGGTAACCCCTATTTTATTCTCACAGTTTAAGAGTTTTTTTTTTTCTTCATTTCATTTGTTCATTTTATTTCATTATCACAATTGAGTGAAATAGGGTGTTTATTTTTCTCCATCTAGTTTTATCTTACTTAGTAGTACACCCTCTAGGTTCATCCAGTTTGTTACAAATGGCAGAATTTCATATATGTATATACACATATATATATACATATCTGTATGTATGTGTGTTTACACAGATAGTGCACTGAGCAGTAGCATTGAATAGAACCCAAATTAACTCTTAGTGAGACAGATTCAGCTTAGTGAATCTTAGTGAGACACCATCAGCTAATATGTGTGAGGCTGTGAGCCTCACACATATTAGCTGATGGTGTATTAATCTTTAGCAAGCTGCTTCTGTGCTCCTATATTCAACAGATAAAGGCCTCTTAGTAAGCTATATAAAATGAAGACCCTAGAAACTATCATTTCAGTGGTATCTATTCAGATGGTACCTATTCAGGTGCTTCTTCCTATTACTGATACCGCTAAGTAAACTCTAAAATTCATTTTTTGTGGTCAGGTCTTCAAGTTTTGTGGCAGAAGACAAGAATTCCTCAACACATTAGGTTGTTTCCAACTCTTGCTTATTATGCTGTGATCAATATGGGACTGCATATAGCTCTTCAAATTAGTGTTTTTATGTTCTTTTGGGTAAATATCCAGCAGTGGAATAGTTCAATCACATCACATGATACTTACGTAAAAGTTCCGTTCTATCCATATCCATGCCAAATCTTGTTTCTTATCTTTTATATAATAACCATTCTCATGGGTGTGAAGTGGTACATTTTTGGTTTTGATTTTATATCCTCCTAAAAAGAAATGATGAAAACCTTGTCATGTTTCTTTGGTCTCCTTGAAGTGTCTATTCACATCTTCTGCCCATTTTTTAATTGCACTGTTTACTATTTTGTTGTTGAAGTTAATGTGTTCTTTATATATTTTGAATATACCCCTTATCTGCTGGAAAAGTTGCAAATATATCCCATTCAGTATGTTATCTTTTCATTTTAAAGATAGCCTCTTTACCCAATCATTTGCCAATGGATGTAGGTTGTTTTCAATTCTTGGCTATTGTGAGTAATTCTGCAGTGAACAAGGAGGTGCATGTTTCTCTTAGAATTATTGTTTTCATATTCTTTGGATAAATAACTAGGGTAGGATAACCGAATCATATGGAATTTCTATTTTTAACTTTTTGAAGACTCTATCTACTGTTTTCCATATTGCATGCACCAGTTTATAACCACATACATGGTATACAGTTTACATTTTCTCCACACCCTCAACAGTCATTCTCACAGTTGCAAGATGATAGCACAGTGCTGTTTTGACTTGTATTTCTCCACTAATACCAAGTGATGAACACCTTTTCATGTGAATATTGGTCATCTGTATATCTCCTCTGGAGAAGTGTCTATTCAACTCCTCTGCCCACTCTTGGTTGTTTTTTGTTGTTGCGTTCTATGGGTTGTTTTGTTTTTTTTTTTTTTAATGTATTTCTGACATTAACCCTTTGTAAGATGTATGATTTACACATATCTTCTCCCACTCAATAGAAAAGCTTTTTGTTTTCACAATAGTTATTTTGCTGATCAGCAGTTCTTTAGTTTAATGTAATCCAATTTGTTTATTTTCCTTTTGTTTTCCTTCCATTGGTATAGAATCCTCAAAGTCACTTATAAGACTTATGTTAAGGAAGTATTGCCTATAAGGAGGTATTTCATCTCTCAATTTTATGGATTGAAGTCTTTTACTCAAGTTTTATTTCACTTTGAATTATTGATTAATTCTTCAATATATTTTACCTATTTCCATAGCTATCTCCAGATTTTTTTATACTCCTCCATTGATCTTGTTAAAAAACATCCTGTAGTTCCCTTATTTTCTTGTTTAGTATTTCAGTCTTGTATTATCTTAATGTTCAAAATTTCATGATTTCACAAGTGGATGTTTAGTTTTTCCAACACTGTTGAAAAGAATTTCCTTACTTCATTTTATGCTTTTAGCTCCTTTGTCATAAAATAATTGTCTGTATATGTATAGATTTATATCTGGCTCTCTCTATTCTATTCTACTTATATGTGTATCAGTTTTTATTCCAGTACTGTGTATTTTGACTTTATAGTATAGTTTGAAGTCAGGAAGCATGATACCTCCATATCTGCACATGCTTCTCAGGATTATTTTTGCTAGTTGTAGTCTTTTGTAGCACCAAGTAATTTTATATTCTTTTATTGTATTTTTGTGAAGACTACTATTGGAATTTGCATAAAATTGAATATATTGCTTTAGGTAATAGCCATTTTAATGAAGTGAATTCTTCCAATCCATAAGCATGGAATATATTTCCATTACTTTATGTATTCCATATCTTTCATCAAATTTTTATAATTTTCATTGTATTGATTTTGTACCTTCTTGGTTAAATATATTCCTAGTTATTTTATTCTTTTTAATGCAATTGTATGTGGAATTATTTTCCTGACTTCTCTTTCTGCCAGTTTGCTTAAGCATCAGATTTTGTTTTTTGTTTATTGATTTTTGTAGCTAAACACTTTATTTCATAACATACCATTTTTTTTACGGGTGTCTTTGTGATTGTTAATGTATATATATATATATATTATATCATATGGAAACAGAGTTTTATTTCATTATTTCCTTTATTTATCTAGTTGGTCTAAGATTTTCCAATACTATGCCAAATAATAGTTATGGGAGTGATCATCCTTGTCTTTTTTATTCTTGATCTTAGAGGAAACACTTTCAATTATTCACAAGTGAGGATGATGTTGGCATGTGTTTGTTATATATGGCCTTTATGATATTGAAATGCATTCCTTCTACATCCATTTTGTTGATAGTTTTTATCATAAATGAATGTTGAATATTATTAAATTATTTTTTATCTGAGGTAACTCTCTTGTTGAGGTTCTTCTCCTGTTAAAATGGTGTATCATGTTAATTAATCTGTGTATTGGACCATAATTGCATCCCTGAAATAAACCACATGGTATTTGATTCTCTAAATGTAGTTTAAGTTGTGACTTGCTGAAGTTTTGTTAAGGATTTTTGCTTTGATGTTCACCAGAGGTATTGGTCTGTGGTTTTCTTTATTTCTGATGTATTATTTTTGAATTTGCAATCAGGGTAACATTGGCCTCATAAAAGAGTTAAGAAGAGTTCCATCCTCTTCAAAAGCTAATAAGGTATTTTATACTGGAAATTTGCTAAGAGTAAAGATACTAAATTTCCTTCCCATCCCCCCCACTAACCAAAGTAACTGTGTGAGGTGATGAAAGTTAATTAGTTTGGTTTTAGTAATTATTTCACAAAATAAATATTGTATAATACAACTGTATTATGTCATGAGGTGTTTATATACCTTAATAAAGATGGAAAATATATTAGATATAGTCACATGATGGTATACTATTTAGCCACTGTAAATGAAAAACAAAATAAAACCCCTCTCAAATTCTTCACTGGAACATTTTTTATCAAGGTCACCTTGGTCTCTGCATAGTTAAATTCAATAGAAATTTCTCAGTATTTAAATTCCCCCCGATTTTGCACATGTGCTGTTTCTTACCTTTACTAAGTCTTTAGCTAT